CAGGGCCGACCTCTGAGGCGGCTCTGCTCCTGCCTCGAATGGCATTCGCGAGGGAGTAGTGGCCGCGAGGAGCCGAAGCAACGGCGATGGGCATGGCGACAGGTGGGTTGGACGTGGGCGAGGCAGCAGGAAACAGCCGGGGATTCGTAAAGTTTGACGTGTTCCAGAAAGTTTACGGGCTCATGGCGGTGAATTGGGACGGTTGCGGCGTTGTGCTGTCAGGCGGGCCGTTGTGCAGCAGGCAGTGAACGGGCAAAGGTGCAGTATACTCCAGTCGGGCGCGCGAAGACGTCACAAACGAGGCTGTGGTACCGGAAGCGAACGGCAGCCGCTCAGAGGACGCGGGGGAGGGCAAAGCGAGTGGAATCTGCTGCGACAGGATCGGGCAGTAAGTTCAGTAGCGACTGGCAGGCCTTGGGTTAGAGATTCCGCGCTCACTGACGCCGCTGGGGGCAGGTTGAGGGCTATTACTTTGACGCTTTCGCAAGCGGACGAACTGGGGCTAGCAGGGGTCGTCGCCTGCGCAGATCGCGTCGGAGCGATAATAATTCTATATTAAAAACGGGCGTATTCTTGGTATCATTTGCCTTTCGTCTACTGACCCGCGCCGCGCCGTTTCTTTACATTTCCACGCTGGGAGCAGTACGAGCTTTAGCCCGCCACCCACCGCCAGCATGACGCCTTTCGGATCGTCGCAGCTGGCATGCCTGCGTGTGTGACGGTGCTGCGCATCTGATGCAGCGACACGGTCGGGGCAAGATGCGTCTGCTGCGCGGTGGGCCCCCGGCGAACCAACTTGTTTTTTCGCGACGTGAACTGCGAACACTGCAATCTCTCGCTGCCGTAATCTCCTGGCCGGTCCCTAGACATACCGCAGACCCCAGTAGCTTACCGCCTCGTATAACGGCTCGACTCTCATGACTTATCTTGACGTACTGCTTTCTGCTCTGCAGTATAAGACCGGTACGGTTGACTACTGTGGACAGGTGCTAGTGCCTCAGGGTAAACCTCTCAACCGAAAAAAGTCCATGGCACGCATGGCACTAGGACGTCGGTATGCAAAGCCGCAGATGCAGATGGTGCGATAGGCGACCGTGCCTGCAGCTACTGGGGCAGACTCCAATTGCGAGGCTCCTTCTGACCCACGCGTATCCTGTGCTTTGTCCGAAGTTCCGAACCGTGAGCATTGTCGGAACGGGATATGCCAGCCTGACGATTACTGTGTAGTGCACAGCTGAGTGCGCAGCCCGGCTTATCTGAGGGGCCACGGTCGCTGCAGTCGCGTGTGCATGTGTGTAGCGATCATCATTCCGCGCATGCCTGTCGGAACAGCGTGCATCAAGCCGGTCAGAATGCGACGCGTCGTGTGTGAATGTCTTCTGAGGTAGGCATAGATGCGACATCCAGTCTCTCGTTACAGCCTGGCACGTAAAAGCAATCGGGCTGCTGCCAGAACCTCACGACGATCCTGGCACCCCACAAATCCCTCAATCCCTAACCCCTCGAGCACCCCTCTCCTGAAAGTATGCCAAGTGGTAGATTGCTTGCTTCTCAAACAGCAATGCACATGCACAAAAAGTACACAGTTCAACAGCTGCGAGCCCCTCTTAGTTCCCAGAGCATCAGCACGAGCACGGATGCCAGACCCTGAGGAGGCTAGCTGTAGAACTCCCACGTCTCATGTACTTGTAGATCACGGTCCGCAACGAGTCAAAAAGAATCATATCCGCGAGCAGCTTAGTTCACCTTGTTGAGACAAAGACCGTGGTTTCGAACCAAAGCACTCACTCAACTAAGCTTAGCATCGATAGTCATAACTTTATCTGCTCATGTACCCCCACGTTGGACTCGAGGTCATAGTCACATCACGTGATTCACATATGCCCGAACAGAGCTCCCGTTGGCTTCATCGCTCAATGGTATTGACACAGTCGCTAGTGTTTTGATACATGATCTCCCTCACCCAGCAACGCTCCTCTAATGGGTGGCACCGGCGGTGGTAATGCTCTCGTCCTCCTCCTCGAACCAGTCCTCTTGCGGGAGCACAGCGTCGTCCTGGCCCTGGGCGCCCTCAACGTCAACTGCCTGTGTCTCGTATGACTTCAACTCGTTCGCAATGTCGGTCTCCTCGGGGGATGCGGGGGCCTTGGGGACGGTGAACTTCTGGACGTGGGCCTCAGCATCGGATGCCTTGACTTCGGGGACCTTGTAGGCCTTGAGCTCGCGGAGGTAGAGGTCCTGCACTAGGTCGGCTACGGCACCAATTGGGTCAGTACTGTCGCGTCTCCAAGCATTCGGGATGAATCACCTGATCGGACGGCCGAGGGAGTGATGAAAGTGCGGCGAGCGACAAAGGCAGGTTGCTGCCGGGCAACGCGGACGAGCGCCTGGCGCTGTGGCAGGTCAGTACGTGTCCAGATTCCACCAGCAGTAGGAGCGTACCGAGGCCCTGATGGATTGCGCGATCATTGTGTAGGTGTAGTGACGTGGGGAAGCTGGCAATGGGAGCTACAGTGAAGGTCGATGTTGGGGAAAAACCGTGGACCGCCGCAGCTTGAGCCGCCACCCGAAACGGCTTAGCGGCGTGCCAAGCCCAGCAATGGCTGCCTGCGCGCCGAACTACAAGTTTGTCGTCGCAGACTTTCCTTCAGTCTCGCAGCCTGTCTCATACCACCGCACTCGCTCATCCTGCTCCAGCCCGGACGCAGCCTACAAGTGTGTCGGTCGACCGCGCGCAATAGCTAGATAACGAAATACACTCTATAGCTCGTCCGCAACTGCTCGAAGATGTCGTACGCCCCCGATGGCCGTCTGCTGTCGCCTGGCGAGGTGTATGAAGCCGCACCCACACTCGTGAAAGAAGACGAGTGGCAGGAAGACCTGAACGTTGCCATGATCTGCCCCGACTGCAAAGAAAACCCTCCCAATCTGGTCGAAGAGTTCAGCGCCGGCGACACCATCTGCGGTTCTTGCGGTCGCGTACTCGCAGAGAGGACTATAGACACGCGTTCCGAGTGGCGCACCTTTTCCAACGACGGCAAGTACTTGCCTGTTTGGAGGAAATGCAAGTGACACTCGTGCTAACACTGCGTTCTGTATCTAGATCAAGGAAACGACGACCCCTCTCGTATCGGAGACGCCGCGAACCCCCTGCTACACGGCTCTCAGCTGCAGACTGAGATCAGTTTCGGTGACGGCGGTATGAGGTCTAGGGACTTGAGCCGCGCGCTTAACAAGACCAACCACGACAAGGTCAACAAGGCGCTGCAGGCCGCGTATGGACAGATCTCAGCGCTCTGCGATTCACAGAACATCAGCCGCCCGACCGCTGAGACGGCCAAGATGCTGTTCAAGATGACCGACGACGCAAAACTCTTCAAGGGCAAATCGCAAGACGCTATCATCGCCGGGTGCATCTTCATAGCCTGCAGAAAGCACGACCAGCAGCGCAGTTTCCGCGAGATCTTCAAGATGACCAACGTGAGCAAGAAGGAAGTTGGCCGTACGTTCAAGGTGCTCGAGGCCTTTATACAAAAGTCCCAGAATAACGGGCCATCAGTTGCAGGAAATGGTGCCGTCATCGACACTGTCAACCTTCTCAACCAGAAAGGAGGTACCACAGCCACCAGCGCCGCAAGTCTCATGCCCCGTGCCTGCGCCAAACTCGCCCTTGGAACACAAGTCCAGATGGTCGCAGAAGAGTGCGCGGATCAGGTCGCCCACTACGGAGTTGCAGCCGGACGCTCCCCCCTCTCTATCGCCGGCGCCTGTCTCTACCTCGTCTCCCACCTCATGGGTCAGCCCAAATCGCCAAAGGAGATTGGTTTGGCTGTCGAAGTCAGCGACGGCACGATCCGCACAGCCTACAAGCTCATGCACTTGGAGCAGGACAAGCTCATCAAGGAGGAATGGATAGCCAAGGGCGGTGACCGCTCCAGGATTCCGCAAGCTTGATTATTGTTATTTTTGTACCGTCTTATTCTTTTCGTTCAAGTATGCATTTACACGGTACGGCATTGCGACGGAGTTGACGAAATTGGGGCTTGATTATCAGTATTGCAAGCACGGTTTCCTCATTCCATTCAAGGGAAAAAAAATCGCGAGGTTTATATTGACCTTGGCTCTTCTCTTTTGCTTATTATCTCCCTAATGTAGGCTTCAGGCCTGTCTAGTTTCTTCCTTGTATGAGATGCCACCTCAAATTGCTTTGGCAGCAACACATGATACCCAATAGATAGGAAGACATCGAAAAAATTGAAATGGCGTTGGTTTGAAGAAACTGTCCCAAAAGTCTACATTGCTCTTAGGATTGTACAAACGCCTGATTCTATGCTAACGGAGACTGTAGTAGCCCTCTTCGGTTTTCCTCCTTGCATGAGTTTTTTCCCGTTGTGCTGAAGCGGCCTTTGTAGTTTGGTACCAGGGACTACCAGCGAGCCCTGTTGAACGCACATTACCAGTACACCGTCCCAACGACAACGGGGTCTGTTCCGCGACTGCGACTTCCAATCTACCACCCAGACGGCAACATGCTCTATGCCTGCGTGAGGAGAATAAGATTGAATATACTGTATTCCATACTCAGAAGAGCATGCAAAGAGATGAGGTCGTCAACTTCGGAACTGTCTGTTCGATTGCGAGCACGAAGTGTCTGGGACTACATGCGATACCCAAGCAATAGTGACCGCACGTGTTGCTCGTTCCTACCCCTCCGGAGAAACCCGATCAACACACCTCCAGCATCTCGTGAAGCCGTAAGGGATGCTTCCCCAACGCCCCTTCATTACCATGATACCCTGAGAAGGGCCCAACGAAAACGATGACCAGAAAACAAGGGTGAATCGCTCTTCCATAAAACCACACATGTACCTTTCCTCTTTCCTGTAAAGCTTTCATCTCGTTCATCCTCAAGTTTATTGGGATTTGCTCCCAATTTGCTCTTCTCAGAGCCTCCTACCTCATTTCATCCCACCCTATCTCATCCACGAGACATCCCAACCATGAAGTTTACCCTCTTCATCCTCGCGACGCTCCTGAGCGTCACTTTCCTTGGCACGTCAGCCAAATACGTCAAATTCATCAACCACTGCCCGTACAACATCTTCTTCTGGGCTGTCGGCCCCCCAGCCTCGCACCTCGATGGCGGCGACTCCACCCGCAGCATGGTACCCGGCAACGGCGGCTCCGTCATTCATCCCATGGTCGACACAGAGAGATTCGGCGGTGGTCTCTCGTTGAAGATCAGGGATCTGGATTACTATGTTACTGGGCCTGCAGGCATCATTCAGGTCGAGTATAATCTTGAGGAATCCAAGGGGAAGATGTGGTATGACCTTAGTGCTGTGGATTGTGATCTGAATGCTGGGCCGGCAAACCCGAAGTATTGTCGTATGTATTTCCCCTTGATGTAGAGAGGACATGTAGACTAACGGTATTTTCAGCACTCATTCGAGGTGGTGTGAAACTCTACATCAACCCAGTACCCAACAAGAAAGACTGCCCATATGCGTACTGCAATGAGGAGAAGTGTGTGAACACTTATCTTAGCCCAGGCGGGTTCGCGAATGAGCCAAGCCTCATGTGCTGGGCTGGTGCTGATATCTTTGTCGAGACTTGTAAGTTTACTGGCCTCCTTGAACGTTCGGACAGTTACTGATGATCAATCACAGGTACCGACGGCCCAGGAGTCCAGACATTCTTTGGCAAGGAGCCAAAGGCTGCTGGTTCCGTCCACCAGGCCATTCCTGCACCGGTTGTCCAACCTCCTGTCGTCCAACCTCCTGTCATCGCTCCCAATGGCATGATCATCTCTCCAAATGGTCAATGTAAGTCTTTCCCCCGCCTACCTCATCCTGAACGCACCACTAACCACATTCTGACAGGCGGCGGTACAACTGGCTTCACCTGCAACGGCTCTAAGAAAGGCCCCTGCTGCAGTCCCTACGGCTACTGCGGCGACACAGCCGCTCACTGCAACCCCGGCTGTCTCCCTTCCTTCGGCTACTGCCATGATATATGGCAGATTCCTCCGATCGGCCGCCGTGCTGCGGCCCCTGAGCCTTCCACCTGGCCTGAGCCGTCTATCGTCACCTCTCAGCCTTTCACCGTCGCCCCCGAGCCTTCCATTGTTACAAAGGTTGCAAACGTCTTCACTTCGACCACCACTGCGACCGAGACCGAAGTGGATTGTGACACGAACAAGCACACTGTTACGAAGGTTGTGAAGGCCACGAGGAAGCCCGGTTCGCAGTTTACGCCTCCGCCACTGAGGAGAAGGTTTGCGGCCATGTAGGTGACAGCTGATGATATGGCTTGCTTCAGATCCTTCCACACCTTCATTCAGGGATTTGAGATTTTGCAAGCTTGTTTACATGGAAGCCGATCCTCGGTATGACTAGTTCGGACGTGGGTGGGCATGGCTGGAAGAGCTACGGAGGGTCGGGTACTTCCCAAGGCGTTGGAAGGCGCTTTATACCCCTCTGAGCGATTTGGCGCTTCTTTACTAGATAGATGGAATGAAAAATGTCGTTGAGTACTGCTGTCCTTGGTGCATTGTGAGATGTGTGTGATGATTGCGTGGGCACTTGGTGTTGCGACGATTGAATCTTTGGAAGTCGCGCCACAAGTCATAGCTCTTTCATAACACCTGCAGTTGTCCAAGATTTCGAATGGATTACTTAAGTCGTGATGCTCTGGGTGTTGATGGTGGTGTTGCCTGCACGCCCAAGTGAATGGACGGGGCACTAGCGTGCCACACCCCTGCTCGCCTAGCTAGCGCACTTTGCAAAATTGCCCACCGTTCGCACCAGCTCTCACGCATCGCCAGCGACAACTCCATCTCCGAACGCCCAACCTAGCTCTTCCGCACACCGAACGACCGACTCCCGTCGAACTTCACAACCGCATAAAATGGACTCTGCTAAGGCCCCCGTCAACCTCGTCAAGGTCACCCGTGTCCTTGGCCGAACCGGTACGCGAACTTTCCGAAGACCCCGAACTTTTCTGCGAGACGAGCGCATACAACAGTTGGGGGATGCACAACGTGAGAGAATGGCAGGCTGACGGATAATCACAGGCTCCCGTGGTGGTGTCACCCAATGCCGCGTCGAGTTCATGAACGACCAGACCCGTTCCATCATCCGCAACGTCAAGGGCCCAGGTACGCACGCTCTACCTGCCTGCTGACCGAAATCCCCGCATACTAACGGAGACATCACAGTCCGCGAGAACGACATTCTCTGCCTGCTCGAGTCCGAGCGTGAGGCCAGGCGTCTGCGATAAGCGCAAGCAAACTCTCGGGGAAAAAGGGAAAGCGGCATTTTCTATTCGGTTACCGGAGTTCTTTGCGAAAGCTATGGGCATCTATACGGACTTCACGAGTATGGACAATATGATGGCGTGGTAGTTGCTCTTGCAGCGCTGCGAAGGAGGGGGATGGAAATGATGGATCTGTGGAGACCTACGATTACGACGACATATCAAGAGTCTGGGTTCTCTCCCTGAATGAATCGAAAATCTACCAACTCCCAACGAGCATCGCGTGGATAGATGTGATACATGTGGCGGCTGCTTGCAGGGCTGGACAAAAATGTTGGAGTTGCTGAGGTACTGACTCGATTACAGGCACGCTTTGTGAGCGTTCGACCGGGTTCTGGTCTTGATGACACTCGAGCCACTCGGCATGTTTTCGTTATGATTCACTTGATGTCCACTTTAGATGATATGCAATACTACGGAACGACGTCGATGGATCCATCTGTCAGTTTTACGAACATATACTTACATGTTATTAGGTTGAGCAACTCTATACTTACGGCTGTGTAATCTTTATAGTAAACGTCAAAGCACTTCCCGTCTCGCATACTCTCGTCACTGCAACGGTACTAGCTTGCTGTGATGCCCTACTGCCTTGACTGCCATTTCTGTGAAACCATTCACTGAAGTCGCAAGAGACATGGCTGAAGCGACTGTGAATCCTCTACGTCCTACCGTCGCTCTTGTGACGGAGGTCCAGTTGAGCATTGACTCTCACTGTTGCTCTTTCTCATTCCCCTTGTCCTTACGAGTACAGCAAACGCTCCACCCTCAACTCAACCAACTTGCTCAGCTTCCGGCTATCTCCGTACTCTTCGATCGCCATCATGCAGGATAGCGACGCAGCAGAACGGCTACGTGATCTACTCGCAAGGTCAGACCCAAAGACTCCTGTACAACCCACGTTACAGCACACGAAGACTATCGCACCTGTACCATTCCCACCCGTAACAGCACAGGCTTGCACGATTCCACCCAAACCGCTAGACTTGGAATACCCACGCGTTAAGGTGCCTGGAAGTCCACAATCATCAACATTGACGGCAACCCCTCCCAGCTCGCCAAAGTCCATCTTCGAATCAGGTCTCTTTGGGTATTCGAGATCATCTTCAAGGACAACTCTACCGCGCTCGCTGAGCAATAGTCAAAGTGGAGGCTTCTTCAGCTCCTTGTTTCGTCGTAACACGGCAGACCGTAGAGAAGATGGAGCTAAAGATCACCGGTCAGTAGCTGTAGGCTCGACCGAACTGTCATCGTCAGGCTCCTCGTACTATGTGGTGGGAAGTTCTATGAACATGCTTCCAGGGCTGACATCGATCTTCCACTCCGGCTCGCCTTCCAAAATTGCTGGGGGAAATGCGCTGTTACGCGCTCGTAGTGAAGACAGCATCAGTGCAAAACGCAATGACTTCGAGCATCGAAAATACAAGGCCTCCAAGATGAGCAAGACCGCTCCGACTTCACCGAAATCGTTATCGCCACGACCTACCTCAAGACGCACCCGGACAATCAGTTGGGCGGACCAGATTCCAAAGCAAGCCGCAAAGTTACCGCCTCCATCATCCGATCTCGATGTCGGAGAGGCGCAAACAGAGCACGGCTCCGAAATCGCACCACTGTTTGCTCAAGAAGACTTCGACAGCTCCCCCAGTAGCTCGACGCTCTCCCTCAACTCGCCTTTCTCTTCTAGCCCACACCTCCCCGCGCAACCTCGCACACAACGACCCGACATCGCTAATACCATGCCAACCAGTCTTCGCGACCTCTCTCCGTTCAAGGGTAAACCGCTCTGGGAGCCCGACGACGATGAATGGGCCGAGTTGGACGCCAGCCACATCTCCTCCACTTTCAAAGCCACCTTCAAGCCCCCCGGCCAAAACAGTCCGCAAAAGCCAACGAATAGCAGCACTCTTTCCCGCTTCAGCGCCACACTGACTTCCTTCATCCCATCCTCCCCCACAAAACGCGCTTCCGACGCCCTCCTCCGCGAAGAAGAAGACCTCCGAGACCAACTGGAAGAACTGCAAAACACATACTACTCCAACCCTGCCGGCGACATTTGCGACAAAGTAATGACATCCGTCTTCTTGCCCGGCTCCCAGTACTTCTACTACGACCAGAGCAGAGATTCCGTCCGCGCTCCCCATGTTATCGACCTAGACGCGTATTTCAACACTCAAGACCTGCTGGTCGGAGCCGCGTACCCGCGCCTCAGCGACGCCATCGCCACCATTCTCAGTCACACAAACAAGGAGTGTGTAGAAGCGTTCCTAGACCCGCGGGTGGACGAGTTCGTGTATAGACGTGAGGTGGAGAGGAACAAAGCAGGCAGTATCTTCGTGATTAGGCGGAAGGGGAATACCGTCATCGTAAGTCCCCCCTACACACATCCACGTTGAAACAGTGTGACGACTCCGACCAACTATCATGAGAATAAGGACAAGGCTAACAAATGCAAACAGGCAGGCTCCTACCGCAACCTAGGCTTCTCACTCTCCTGGACCCTCTACGTCAAAGCCGTGATCGGCGCGACAGGACTATGGTACGACACTCATGCTTCACCGGTAGCAGGCTCGACTCCGATTGTTGATGGTGTACCGGCTTGGGATACTTTTGTACCCATCGGGACTGAAGACCCATGTCTCCAACTATCACCCGAAACCACCCAACCCAACATATCACCCCGGAAGATTATTTTAGCCAGTCCTCGTCCGCAGAAGAAAGATGTGGTAGAGCAAGAAGACGAGATCAGTCCTACAAATGAGAAGTTCGTGTTGTATCAGAGTAGGACGCTGGCGAGGTATTTGTTGAGGGATGTTTGGGTTAGGCTGGAGGGGCGGTATGAGTGTAAGGCTACGTGGGAGGTTGATGGGGTGGGGAGGGAGGTTAGGCTGAGGAGGGCGTTAGTGGGGTTTGGAGATGATGATGATGAGTAGTCTTTCTTGAGTATGAGAGATGTAGCAGAGCGATGAGTTTGGTGCATGCAGAGAACAAGCGACCAAGAGGTAGTAGACAAAATATCATGCCGTAAATAAGCAAAGTCCTCACATTCTGAGCATATGATAGAAATCATCGTGTAAGAGGTAGAAGACTTTTAGAATTCATCGTAATCTATATAAAAACCGAAAACCCAGAATCCGTAGACCCAGTTGTATAGTAAACTCGTTGATCTATAAAAGTGATTTGCAAGCTTCGCTATGCAAGGATATAATCCCGAAACAAAAAGAAAATGAAACGCCAGGAAAATGCTTATGTACAACAACTCTTGTCCCATCAAACCACTTAAGCAATGGCAGACTGGCCACCCTCAAGGTTAACAGGGTTCATCTTATCGTCGAACTTGAACTTGAAGTCCTCGCCAAGCTCCTTCTGCATAGCGGTGGTAACAGCCTCGAAGACGTTCTTGAAGACACCGAAGGAAGCAGGGTTCTGCTCGTCGTTGTCGCCGCCCTGGAAGACACCAGTGCGGACAAGGCAAGTGTTCCAGCCGTACATGTTACCACCAACAATGTCGGAAGCAGGGTTGTCACCGATCATGTAGATGTTGGCGGGCAGCTTCTCGTCGTTGTGAATGGTCTCCATCCAGGAGGCGATGACCTCGTCGGCGTACTTGTAGGTAGCCAGTTCGGGCTTGCCGTAGACGACACGCTCGAGTTCGACGCCGGTGAGCGACTTGTACATGGCCTCGAGACCAATGCGGAAGGCACCCTGGGACATGCGGGGGAAGGGGTGCTCGGTGGGGCACAGCATGTCGCCCTGGGAGAAGTAGATGGGAATGCGCTGGGAGACGGGGTCCTTGGCGCGGGTTCCGAACTTGCCGTTCTCGGACTGGAGGAGATCCATGATGATCTGAATGTCGGTGGCGTAATCACGGCTGTCGGAGAAGACCATGATGGCTTCAATGTTGACCTTGCTGAAGTCGCGGGGGCGGGAAGTCTTGCGCTCCTCGTCGGTGAAGACACGGTAAGGGGCGATGGTGGGGTCCCAGGCGATGATGTCGTTGGGGACGACAATGTCTTGGAAGCCGTATTGCTCAGCGACCTCACGGCACTTGTAGCCTTCACCACCGACAACGAGGACGGTCTTGTAGTATTCGGCCAAGGCACGCATGGGAGTGTGCGACTGGATGAACTGCTCGGTCGAGATGGGGTTGTGGAGGATCTTGGACAGCTGGTCGACACGAGCTTGCTCGGGCTTACCGGATCCGTTGGTAAGGAAGATGTGGGGGATCTTGATGCCGAGCTCGTTGTCTCCGTTCAGGATCTCAAGGACGCGCTGTCCCTCGGGGATCAGACGGTCACCATGGACGAGCACACCGTCAATGTCGAAGACGAAAGCCATGTCCTTGGCGGCGCGGACCTTCTCGCCAGCGAGATCTTGAAGCTGGGCAGCGATGATGTCGCGAGATGGCTGGATCGGGGGCATGCCAGGGCGGACAGCGGCACCACGGCCATCGGGGTAGTGAACGGACGATAGCCTCGACTGCCTCTTGGAACGGGGGATGGGCAGTGAGGTACCGAAGGAGTTGCGGGATCCTCTCCTCTCCTTCATGGAAGGCGAGAGGGAGAGGTTGTGCATGTAGCCAGTGGTGTCGGCCATGGCACTTCGGGTTGCTGGGACCTCGACGGTGTTGTCGGTGCCATCTTGTTGAGGGTCAGCTGGGATGGGAAGCTCAGGAGCCTTGTTGGAGGTAGTCTGAGCCTCGTTCTCAACAGCGGAGGGAGACATGATGATGGTGGTTGAAGTTGGGATAAGAATGGGGTATCAAGTGAAGAAAGTAGTAGTGTCAGTCTTCTCAGAAGCTGAATGTGAAGCTGAAGATGTGGAGTTGTGATGATGAAAGAGCAGTCTCAGGGTCTTCTGGGGGAGGGGCTATATATCACATCACTCGTCACACTGACAGGCAGCGACGTCCATGAACCCCAGATGCCATCATCATTCGCCAATCTCTTCTGGAAAGTTTCGCAGGAGCTTTTCGCTATCCCGATTCAGGCCGGTGACACCAACCACGTTCTGGCACTGTGAGCGTTCAACAAGTACCTCTGTACCCACAGCGCGACATCATTACACTGCTGTAGTGGCCGTGCATAGCAGCACTAGTGGAGAAGTTTGCTGAACCAGAGAATGAGAACTGGATACCGTCACCGCCGTATTATCGCCGAAAACTGGGGACCGATAGCAGCGTAGTGCTGTGAGTCGCCACAACACCTGGAATGCGCGTTGTATACCCTTGGCCGAAGCCGTGGAAGCTTAGCGCAGAGCCTCATTTGACCGGAGGCAGAGCGCGGCCGGAAGATAAGGCACGGTACACCGCCTGTCAAAGGCGGTTGGCGTGCATACACCAAGTATGCGACATGTGGGAATCAGTAGAAGCGAGTGTAGCAGAGTGTAGATGGTGCAGGCAGCTTGCAGACAGTCGCGGCGGTACTTGCAGCAGCATGTGGGAGTGACGAAGGATGGGTGGGGCGAGGTAACCGCGGCTCGCCGAATTAGGGCGAAGGCAGCTAGTGATCTGCTTAAACGAGTGGCTGACAACGGCAGAGCCGCACGACTATTGGGACTACATCGTTCCACATTTTCACCTGTACGAAGCTCAGGTCGGCAAAACTTCCGCGCCAGCAATTAAAATGGCAGCGCTCGGCCCGTGCTGTGGACCCTGAGTCCACCGTCGACGTCATCGCTGCTGATGCAGGCCTACTCTGAGGGTCTATTCGAAACTGTTGGATGGGACTATTATGGAGTTTTTTCGCAATGGGACCGATGCGTGCGAGATGCTGCTGCGATCGGAATCTCTCGGTCTGAGGTCACGGCCGGCAGCGTGGTTGGGGACTGTCCGAGCAGATGGGCGATGATGAAAGAGCGAAGAGATTTCAGACCAACCAAGGTTACGCTGGATATATGTAGCTTCACAGTCCCAGCACGCGCTGTTGCCGCTGAATAAATCATCTCAAAACTTACTTGACCACTTTCATCTTTACTCTACATTTTCAAGATACACTTTCAAACTCCAAGAATTACAAACACCGCAAATATGGCTCCCCTCCAGAACGAGAAGACGTTCAAGCTTTCCAATGGCGTCATCATGCCAGCCGTCGGATTCGGCACCTTCGCCAGCGAGGGCGCATCGGGCGAGACCTACGCCGC